ACTTATATTGGCCGGAACCTTAGTTGAGCGCCTTCGCGATATCTGAGGCTCTCGTCTCCATTCATCATTATATTGTCTTAATCTTTTTTAATTTTTTTTTAACACGCACATATTCTGTTAGATAGTTAGTTTCCATGAGATGAGCCCAGAGTTATGAAAGACCGTGAAACCGACTCATCGCCGCTAAATTTAGTATCATTAAGTAATATTGATGTAAACATCGCAGATCATTATACTAGGTTCAAAAATGTCGGTTTTATATATTCTTTCTTCTCCCGGAGAATTCAAGATTGGAATGGTTGAATAGATGATATAACTGCGGTGACCTCTGATGATTGTGCGGAGGTTATTGAACATAAGGTAAATGTGCAAACGAGCTGGCGTAAATTTAACATATTTACGAAGAGAGAAGTCTCCAAAATTGAGTTGCACTTTTATATATACTTTTTTTGTTTGTTAATAAGCAACTACGTTTATTTATTTTTTTAAACTTTGTGACCACTTTTATTGTGCTGCTTGAGTGGAGCCTACAGCGTATTTAAATAAATATTTATAAGAAGATGCTCATCATTCCGGAACACAATCTGTCTTCGGGTTATATTTTTTTATTGAATTTTTACGGGTTACAGGGGAAGCATACCGGAGTCGTAATTCGATTACATTTTAATATTATAATATAACTCTCTAGTCTAATTACTATATGAGTAGTTTGTGCAGGCACGTAGCCAGGATTTTGTTTCGGAGGGGGGGGGGGGGGTGCGCCCATGACAAAATTCTGTATGAGGGGGAGGGGGGAGAGGAGGTCCCAGCAAAATAAAAGATTGGGAGGGGAAGGGGGGGGGCCTAGGCCCCCCACCCCCCCCCCCCCCCCCCTGGCTACGTGCCTGAGTTCGTGTGCATAGTTGATACGGCCTGCGAAGTAGTTCTTTGCCGAATTGCCGCGATAAACGGGGGGGGGGCATAATCTAAATGCATAACGAAAAAAAAAATGCAAGCAATATTATGGGCGCTTAGACAAGGTTTAGTGGTACGGATTTAAAATGTACACAGAAGAAAAAGAAGTTTAAAGGGTATTTAAAAATTGGCCCAATTCGAATGTTCATGGGCATCTTTGGTTCTCAAATTAACGACAATTTATTGGTCCATTTTTAAACTACTGCAATAGGATGTTTCTCGTGCGATACTTTCAGTATGCTATGCTCAATAAATTTCGGTTAATTACCAATTTTCGTAATTGTTTTTAAAAAAACACATCTGAATTATGTTTTCTTTTCCCTTCTTTTTTACAATAGTTTGCAATGTTTGACCCGTTCTTCAGAGTGATGTGTTCTGGGATTCTTGGTAAGCTTTTTGCCTCCACGGAAATCATTATACACTCAATATTGTATGTAGAAAAAAACAAAAATTAATGTAATTTTTTTTTTACTATTTTGAATAGTATATGGAGAATTTCACATCGAGTTTTTTTTAATATCTTGTTATGTTAAGATAGTATTGCGGTAGTTTATCGGATATTCTAAACACTCTCCTACCAGATCATTCATTGGCATTTCGTTGTTTGGACATACTATGGAAACTTTGGAATGTCGTGATGCCAAACTATTAGCGATGTGCGCGACCAAAAGCGTCGCTGCGGTCAGCTTTCCACGATTGGCCAAACCATGGGCATATGAGCATTGTCAGATTGTCAAGTTTGACGGTGTTAGTTTCGGATTGCGATGGCTCCTAGCTTCCACTGTGCTTTTTAAACACACCACCGAACTCGTCGTCGCACCTGATGGTAAGTAGCCAGGATAATAACTGGTGACGTCACGGCGAGGCAAACCCCAGTCGTGACGTCACGGAGGGAAACCATAAGAGGGCGCCACCGAAACATCTCGGCGCTAATAGGAAGTATTCACTTGTGCACGACTGCTGAGCGCGTGCTGATGGCGAGCTTCCACAGTTCTTTTGTAACGCACGTGCATTCCGCACCCTCAAGATTGCCGGTCTTAGCAGCCTATTAATGTGGGGCTCGTTCTGAGCCTGCGCTCTAGACAGCACCCACAAATATGGCGCCCAGTGAATACTCCTTATAGACGCTTTACACACGCGCCAGATTGAGCCGCCATAGCTGCCCTTCTCTTGTCTTACCGAGATGCCGAGCCACTGAAGCGGGCGTTGACGGGTCTTCACAAGGGTCTATGCTGGGCACAAGAACACGGTAGAATCTAAAATTGCAATAACCTGTCCTACTGTGGTAATGATGAAGTGAAGCGAACGGAATAAGAGGGAAACAAAAACTGAAGGTCAGTTATGGCGGCGACCCATGCACATATGCTGTAAAGCGTCTATACTTCGTTTCACCTTTGCTAGGACTAACTGCGAAAGCCGTGCAAGCGCGAGTGGTTAGCCTTGACTGCCTTGACTGGAGCACTCGCTGCACGAGCGCTCGTGCTCCCGCTACGGCTTCATCCGAAGCAACTAGCTCGCGATTTTAGCATGCGCGGCAAACAATAGTCCATGCTAAGGTGAGACGAAGTATAATTGAATCTTAGTAGATATGTGGACGTTTAGATGTAATGCCACGCAGAAAACAGCCATACCGCTGTGGAAACTATTACATGGGAGTATATATCTCTTTGTTTCATTGAAAACATCACACTTGGTTTCGATAAAAAAAAAAAAAAAATATACTCGCAAACCTTCGGCATGTTTCGCCCACCGAACGAGGCGGCCATGTTTAGAGCATTAGTGTCGTCACTAGCCTGTGCTCCTCACCTTTCCGTCTTCTCGGGAGAAATGCAAATGTAAAAACAACAACAAGCATGGTGATTGTAATTACCGTTCTTTTGTTTATCCGAATTGTTTATAGTCGCAGGGCTTACATCAAAGGCAGAACCCGAATGGGTTTTTCTACTAGAAACAAAGATGCTCACAAAATTGACAACCGGAGAACACGCACGCCTCTCTGGGCCTTGCTCATTTTTCTCCACCGCCATTCGCCTATTCACTGTATGAACACCGTTCTATCCAACAAAAGCGAAAACGAACTCTTTAACTAATTCATAGCGTGCGCTACTTGGCCCTGCTCAGTGTTTGCGCCAGCGAATGGCGACCGTCGGCTAACAAAGCGTCTTCTTGTATTAACGTCTGCTACTAACGTTGTCTGCTACTAACGTCCGTCGTCTACTAGAATTGGTTCCACCCATGCAAAACTTGCTCCCTGAAAAATATTAAAACGTGGCGTAGGCAAAACGATGCCGTTAATTAGCGACGCCACGGACAAGCCCAATTATAAATTTATGGGGTGCTCATTATAAAACGAGACGCAGCCAATCAAGGCTGCATCACTTCGCCGGCACAAGGTTTGCGTAGCAGCGAAGCGAGTGTCACTGACTGGTTACAACGGAAACGGCTACAAGAGGCATTCCTGTGTCTCACGTGGCCTTCTTATTTCTTTTTTCTTCTCTTGAATTCTGTTTAGTATTACATTTTGTCCGTTTATGACGTCACCGGTCTGCGTACACCATTCCGTTTTTTTTTTTTTTTTTTTTAATTGCTAAAGCGAGGTGGCCGCTCGGCTGGCTTGGCTCACCACGCCACGGATGCTCCAAAGAATTTCTGGGAAAACAACTATTTCTTTTCTTCTTTTTTTTTTTTTTTGCGAGGATTAAAAGCACGAGCGGTCACTTCCCGTACCACTTGACCCACCCGAAGGATCTGGCACGTGCAGTGCGTAGGTGTTCTAATGCAGGGACGAAACGTTTTTAACATTCCAAGAATATCCCCCGTGGCAACGTCTAAATATCAATAACAATAAAGCGAAAAATTCTGAGAAAAGTCGGTCATTATGACCCCCGAAACAACTTTCCATTACAGAAGCGGCTACTTCCTGCACCACCTCCTCTTCTGTAGTCTGCTAACGACGTGCGCCATTTGTTAAAAAAAGGTGAAAAAAAAATCTGTCACCTCGTTTTTTTTTTTTTTTTCTCCTATTCACTCGCTATTATCATTACCTTCTCGTGTTTATTTCGCCCACTTTTCGCAAGCTCCTCGGAGAGCGTGTAGGGCGACGAAAGCCAAGAAAACACGCTCGGGCTGCAGATACCTTTTGTGACTCATCGCGTTTGCCCCGGAGCGGCGGCAGCAGCAGACGACGGCCTCCGCTCCCGCTCAACCCTCCGATTGGCCGAACGCAGCCCACGTGACTCACAACGTGACCATCCGCGACGGGGCGCCACTCTTCGCCCGTGCGTGCGTCTGTGAGCGGCGTTCGTGCAAAAAAACGGAGGCCTACTGTCACTTGTGCGGCCGGCATGTCACCGTGGTTTTGAACCTCTAGCCGTGGAGACCGACCGTGTGTGATTGCTTTTTCTCCCCTACGTTCCTCCCGTGGATTACATGGACGCTTCGGCGCGACCGTGGGGTCCTTCTGTTCTTATTTATTGTTTTTTTTAAAGGAGAGTGTCCGAGGTGTTCGTAAAAGCCGGTTGTTCGTAGAGAGCTGTACTCCTCCTCCGGCAACATGGCGGAGCCAGCAGCCGACATCGACACATTCAACAGTCCCGAACTGAAGTACCTCGTCGTCGACAAAAACGACGTGTACGACCCCGCCAAGCAGGCGGAATGGACGGCCAAGAAACTCATCTGGGTGCCGCACGAGACGCAAGGGTTCGTCTCCGCCAGCGTGAAGGGCGAACGCGGCGACGAGCTCGACGTCGAGGTGCTCGAGACGGGCAAGCGGTACTTCGTTAGCAAGGACGACGTCCAGAAAATGAACCCGCCCAAGTTCAACAAAGTCGAGGATATGGCCGAACTGACCTGCCTGAACGAAGCCTGTGTGCTGCACAACATCAAAGACCGCTACTATTCCGGACTCATATACGTAAGTTTTGATCAAACAAAATACAGACTCCCCTCCCCTCCTTTTGTTGGCGCGCCACACCTATCCTACGGGCCCCTAGCGTTCGTTAGGCCTAACGCTTGCCGCTACCTCCGGTACATTTGTCGTTTGTTTTTCTGTTCGGTGTCGCTCGGCGGTAGAAAAGAAAAAAGGTTGTTCGGTTCGTGCGCTAGCATCGCAGCTGCGAATAAGAGAACATCAAACCACATCACTAACGTACAAAAAAGGGGACAAAGTTTGGTCTCGTCTAGTTTTTTTTTCTGTTTAGACGCTTCGTTTTCGGCGGTAACTTGTTGAACTTGCTGTGTTCAGCTTTAAAGTGGTGTCCGATCCATTGGTTTAGACCTTGCTTCGATGGTTTTTGGTTGAAGGTACTGGCATACTTGCCACCCTAACGTAATAAAAAAAATATAGGGCGCCGGGTGATTCCAGTCTACATAAACTGTCTGCGTGCTACTCAAACCAGCAACAGAGTTCAAAACACTTTGGATTCAGTCATTAGAACATTCCGTTCTCTTTGTTAGCCATAATGAGCATTTCAGGTGCGATGCTCCGATCGCCGAGGGAGCTGGTGTTTCTTGGATTTTTCAAAGTAGTATACCAAGAATTTTTCTTTTTCGCTGCCTGGGGCAAGGTAGTTTTCAAGTTGGGTCGCTGGGTGGGTGAAAGAGGCGGAGAGGAAAAAAAGATAAATGCTGGAGAATAAAACAATTTAGTGACATAAAAAAGAGGCAGGACGAGAAAGACCTCCACCTCGGTTGGAAGGAAAAATAACAAGACTAATGGAAGAAAAGATATCGAAGAGAGATTAGTAGGGTCGGCGTGGTGTGCTCGGCGTATTTGTGGAATTCCAACGGCCGACAACTTCCTCGCAGTTTTTTTCTTCTTTTTGGTATGTTCTATTGTCTTGTGTGTGAATTCTCTCGTCTTTTGGTCGCTTAGTTCGGTCGCCGCTGTAATCTGTACTCGCATTCTTGAAGCAAAGGAAAAAAAAAAAAAAAAAAAAAAAAACGGTATTTTCAAAATTTGCCGGATTGTCAGCGACTGCTTTGGAGTCGTCATACTGCGTGGCTGTCAGACAGACATCGCTGCATTGTGGGCATTCAAATTTTGTCATCGTGAAAGCGTCCGCCGTGACCGATGAGGCTCAAATTAGCAGAATTGTGATTCTTGCGTCTGCTACATCCAGCCGTCTGCGTCTTTTCTTTTCGTCTGCTCTGAGCATTTGTCTCGTCTGCAACTAGTGTGTCGTTTGGTGTATGCAACCATGCATTGCCTCGGCAGTTTTGTCTCCGAGCTCGTAATCTGGTTAGTGCCTCGTTCCTTTTGTCAATACTAAGACTTCGTCTAGTTGGGGTAGTGGAGCTTGCACATTACGCCAATCTTTTTATTTTTATTTTATTATTTTACTGAGGACGTCATGTTATATTCAGTGGGTCTGACCGTCTGCTAATACAACTTTTTTTTTTTTTTTTCCAATTTACAAATTTACAATTTTTGGTTCCGTCCATTTGTGTTCTGTCGTCGACTAGTACGACTTTCTTGGTTCTGTCGTCTCTAATGTAACTATTTCGGCTATGTTTTCTGCTAATACAACCATATCGGTTCTGTCATTTACAATACAACTTTCTTGGTTCTGTCATCTGATAATAGAACCTGCTGAGTTCTGTCATCTGATTATAGAACCTGCTGAGTTCTGTCATCTGATAATAGAACCTGCCGAGTTCTGTCGTCTGCTTGTCCACCTTTCTCTGTTCTGTCGTCTTCTCAAATAAATTTCTCGGTTCTGTCCTCTGTTAAAATCGAACATGTTACAAACCCTCCCTCGTCGAGAATATCGGTATTGGTCTAATATATGGTTATTAGTTCCCGCAGAACCATTACAGCATTCGCCTTTCACGGGCAGTCGGTTGCTTTCATTTGTCATAGCACGCCGTCGCCAGATATTCTATTGCGCCGCTATTTTATTGACCTCGTAAATCAGTTTTATTTTACTGGGCGCTGTCCAACTTTCGACAAAGATTCAAGTAGGGGGCCATGATATGTTCTTGAAAAACCAGTGCCTGCAATATCCTCTAAAAAAAAAAAAAAAGCAACTATATCAAAAATACGTAATTTTTCCATTGGTGGACGGCGGTCACTTTTATAAACATTAAATGTTGTTGATGGTTGTCGGAACATTTATTTTGGCAGTACGTGCTGAGTGGCGCCATCTGAAGAAAAATATAACTTAATTTAATATTAATTCTTAAGGGCGTACGGCGTGATATAGTTTATTTTTGCAGTGAGAAAGACGCTGTTTTTTCTTCTCTCAAACACCCTATACATCATGCATTTTCGTGAAATGTGAAACTTACCAAGATGAAGGCACCGATTTAATTGATGTACTATTAAAAATAAATAAAACGGCTACATAATTTTAGAAACAAACGAATCGTGGTGTGCCTTAGCCAACGCCCATTTGATCACACCTGCTTGGTTCGATCGCATTTTTTTCCCCCCGATATCAGCCGCCCTTATCTTGAACCCCGGCTCGCACTTCAGGACAGACAAGTACAGGAAAGGAGGCTTTTTGGTGGAGGAGCTCTTAGCAGACGACGGAACCGAGGCTCGGCGATAACAAGCCTTTGAGATCAATGTTGCTTGCCGCCGGTGACGCCGTGGCTCCACAAGTGGATCGATACCCGAGTGTTCCCTCGTGTTGTCGTGCGTAGTGAACCCCTTTGCGAGCAGACGAAGTTACCCGCTGTGATTCATGATCGTTGCATCCCACCTTTTTCCGTTGCACTTTTATTGGCTGGAAACTGGCAATTCGCGTCTTTATCTCTTTGGCGCTGCGTTATCGGGTGCCGATGCCACGTAAGAAACATCGAGTAAGGGGTTGCGTTGGAAAGCGCAATGCTGTGAACGGATTGCAGGTACAAAATACGTAGTAGAGGTTTATTTACGTACCTACTCGTCACCTCAAGAAAAAGCGTGTACTTCTTAACAATAATTGGGTTGTGTGTATGTTTATACAGCCTAGAACTTGGTCTGCCTCACAGGGGCGACGAGTCTCCCAGCTGTAGATGAGCAATTTAGCCAGTGCAGTACAACCGCTAGCCTGGGGTCTTTAACGTGCATCACGCAGTAGTGCTACACGACCGCACGCCGGTACGATGCTCATCCAGATCGAAACGGGCAGGGGTGGGGATCGAACCCTGGATCCCTGGGTTCTGCAGCGCGAGCTTTCGCTCCACGTGCTCCGAGCTGGTGTGCGCTAGACCACTCGGCCACCGATCCCCCCTACTTCTTAACAAAATGCACAAGGAGCGTTTTTTTTTTTTTTTTTTTCGAAATGAGCCAAGTTTATGTCAAGCGAAACTGAGATAAACATGTATGTGTGCTTATCGGACTAGCTTTCAGCCCTGTACCGCGGCACACTGTTTTTTCTCAAATAATATGCCCGATTTCAGATTAATACGTTCTGGAAACGATGGACCTCCAAATATACTCCAAATTTGAGCCAAAATTGACTTAGTTTCGGTTTCTAAATCTGGCTCATTTCGGAAAAAAAAAAAAAAAAAAAAAAACAAACTACAAAACGGTATAAAACTGTGAAAAGGAAAGTAAAAGTAAAAGGCAGCGTTGTAAAACTATTCATAGGTGTGTCACTCGTGGTTTCCTCTTCATCTCCACTGAAATGGGCCACGACGACGGACCACTGTAACATGTGGTCTAAAGATACCTGGGGAGTATATAGTAGCATGTGCAGGCTGAATTAAAACTCGCTCTTTGACATGTTTTTTCTTTTCTTTGTTAGGCAAAATGATTCAACTCTGGTCTCTTGGCTCCTTTAGTTTTCTTCATACTACATTGGATGAAAAAAATTGGCTTTTAAATTTTTTTCTTTCTTTTTTTTTTTTTTGCTTTGTGCATTTGTGTGGGTGTGGCTCGCCTACCGTTTGTCTAAGGTTTTTAGGCATCTTTACGGGGGCGCGTATCTACGGACAAAATAACCGGGAATTATTGGAGAATTCTAGTCAGCTTGGAGCATTAAAGGGATGCTCCAACAATATTTGAAATATTCCCGTCGCGTTTAAAAATAGGTTGAATATGATCCACAATATCCGTAAATGACAATCGCACGTTTGTATTTTGAGTCTGGTGGCTGTATTTTTCGTTATAAACGGCCCACTCTGGCAAGCGGTCGGAGAAGGCCCAGCAGAGACCACGTGACATCCAACGCAATCGTGACGTAGGTCGTCTCAAGACGAGCAAAGCTACGGCGAGGCTGACGTCGAGAGGATGGCCTAGTCGTTCCAGCCACCGAAGCGGCTGCTTTTGTACGAATTTTGAGTGACGGGTTAATCTTCTATAATCTGGTAGGGGGACATAGCTACTTCTGGAACACACAAAAGGGATTCTCTGGAAGACGGGAGTTCCTCCTTCCCCTCTTCTCTCGTCGTGGCCGGAGGCGAGACAACCTCCGTCACTAGCTGTCAAGGTTCCTAGACGAGCATTGCAAACGAGGCGTTAGCGACATCCACCAGGTGCTCTTTGCTAATCGTTTAATTCGTTTTAAAATTCCTTTTCGAGACTTTTTTAACAAGATATTGGTATGTTCCATGTGATACTGCTCTTTTGAACACATATAGATAAAAAAATGAGCGCCGAAATTTCGTTGTAGTATCCCTTTAAGAGGACACGTGAACGGAATTTGTGCACAAATTATTCGGAGAATCGAGGGGGGGAAACTTGACAACACGAATGTGACGAACTGTGGTCTCCGTTCAGGGGTTTCCCCAGGAATTGAAATTAGGGGGGGGGGGGGGGGGGGGGGTACATATTTAAAAGGGGGTGGGGGGGGGGGGGGGAATTGAAAATAGAGGAGTCGTTGCGAATTAAGGGGGTGCCCTCAGAAAAACAAGGGGGGGGGGGGGGGGTGTAGGGAAATCACTGGCCTCGTTTTGATTTGGACTTGTTTGGTTCTACGCGTCCTC